CCGCCTTTCAAACCGAAAAAGGCCCAAACACCCCCCCTTGGGGGGGGGAAACACCCTTATTGGGTTAATAAAAGGGGGCCCCCCCCCCCCCCCCCCCCCCCTTTGGGGGTTTGAGACACCAGCATGGCCAACGTTTCATTGTTTGGGCGAACCTCCAGGTTATGTGAAAAGCTCTAATGCAGGAGCTATTTTTATATAGACGTAGCGTACAACAGAGGCATGTTTGCTAGTACTAGTCAAATCGTAAGATCATCACGAGTGTGTTAATAGGCAGTTGCTTCTTTTATGGGTTAACAGATAATTTCTTTTCTGCTCATTAAAACTCTTTCGGATGTCATTAATGACAGAAACGATAATTAGTCCCATTTTACTTTCTTAGTTGAACGACCAAAACTGTTCGAGATATTTTGGCTCATTCTTACATAGCGGATAGTGAATGAAAGTCTCCCACCCTTCCCTTTACTTCAAAGAGCCTTAGAAAACACCCGGCGAATGAAATGAAACGCGAAGACAGCTAAGCGCCGGAGGGGCGGGGGGCTAATCAACAACGTTTATATGAGGAGGCTCCGCCCCTACTTCCAAGCCCTTACCGTTTCATATACCACCTTTGGCATAAAAGGTAAAAGGTACCCTTTTCGTATACATTCCATTGAAAAATGGTGCGTCTTTCACATACCTACTAGCTGTACGTTAGTCGTTTTGTCATTACATGTTTTGGCGTTTAAGGTTTAAGGCTCCTCAAGTGGCGAGATGACAAATTTTCCTACCCTTTCATATACCTGAAGCCTGAAAAAGGCACCACTTTCTGGCGGAGCCTCTCCGTATAGGCCACAAGGAGGATCTGCTCCTCTCCCCCCCCCTTCCCCTGGCAGATAGGGAAGGTGTACCCAAGGGTGAAAAAAGTAGTTTGCTGGCCAGAGCAAGGTACTAGCACTAGCATTTTTTTCGGTCGAAAAAGGCCCCAGACTGTTAGATGGGGCAACGTATCTCTACACATTTTTTGATTTCCTGTAAAAGCCCTCAGGAAAATGTCATTAAGATGCCCCTATCGATGAAGGCGATGATACTGTGTTACGGGTGAAAATGGATCAAATCGTTATCATTCTTCATTTTATGTAACTACTAGACTGCAAAATAGTCGGGTTTTTTTTCTTAAAATCGGATTAGCTTAGCGTAAGAGTCTCGCACGCGCGAAGTGCGCGAGTCTCACTGACCTTTTGTTTGACTGTTCGCTCGTACTTGAATGCGTAAAAATGCGGACTGTTTTGCAGTCTATGTAACTATTTTCAAAGCCATATGTCTCCCCTGACCTATCCATATGACCTAACATCATAAATCAATTTCTGTCAAAATCAAAATTGGCAACGTTTAACCAGTTTCCATGCAATGGTATTGCTTTCTTTCTTGGCTTTAAGCCACACTAGCTCGAATAACCTGTTACCCATGCACTTTGAAAAGGTCACGAAATAGATACACGGAACAGTGCCTCACCTTTTGGTTCGCTAGCCGAGAAAGCAGTTTTTGTTCCCTTGATAACGCTTTGGAGATTCCTCCAGATAGAGAGACTTTAAGGTAACATAAAAAACTTGTACTCAGTGACTTAAATATGTAGAAAAATCCGAATCTAATTGGCATGTGTTCCAGTTACGAGCCTTGGAGTTAAAACCGTCTGGTACGTGCTATCAGAAACTGAAAATGTTGCAAAACAGTTTTGCTCAGCATGATAAACCTTACCACGGAAAAGACTGAAGTGATCAAACAGCTTTTATTTCAATGAACACACTTTAGGAATTCATACATGTGAAAATTGTACAGCATAATACACAGTACCACAGGAAAGTGCTGCTGAGTAGCTTCCATTCACAAAATTGATTAAAAATGTTTTCTTTTTAGAATTTTATCCAAAGATTCATAGATTGAAAATAAGAGCTGACTCGCACAGCGACCCGACTAAAATTTCGTCCACAGAATCCGAAGTTACAACCAACCTTGTACAGCATAGTAAACAGCACCGAATGAAGTAATGCTCTGAGTAACTCTCATTTCATTCAAAGAAACAAACGTACGACCGCTATGTACAGCATGACAAACATTTCAACAGG